CGAAATGATACTTGACTTTATCTTTTGCGTTAAAGGATTCATTATCTAATAATATGCACCAAAATTTTTGGCTAAACCCAGAATTTTTAACAAGAATTGGTCTTATTCGACTAGTGTGCTGTGGGTCACTTGGCGGTCGATGCGCGGGCTCTTATAATTAAAATGAAAGACTAATATTTCGTAGGCTTGTTGTTGACTTCATGATACAATATATTTTCACTATTACCAAGGGATTTGAGAAAAATTAGATTTTCGACCCGCCCTAGTATATAAGGTTCGGTCTCGCCCGCACTTAGACTTCTTTATTTGTTAAAATTACAAAAATCTTTAAATTTTTGTCGGCTTATCAAAAGAGCTGAAGGCCTAACATAACATATTTATCTTAAAGCCATAGAATTAGATCTCGTCCACTTATGGTTTTATAGAAAATTGATTGAAGAGCGATAAGCTTTAACATTTACTCACTTTTCTATCGGAGCCTATTAAGCGTTTATTAGATTAGAAACATTTCAAGATCATAAATTTGAGCATATCTATACTTGTATGTACATAAATACATACTATTTATGTTATATTATTAAATACACATGATAATAGAGATACCAAATCGAAAAGGAAGGCTGAATCATCACTTAAAGGGCTTTGAAAAAAGAAATCGTGAAGAAAAATCGAACTGCAGCACTTTATACGCTGCGCAAAAGTATTGTTATTAATTTATGTATGGGTGTTAAATATAAAAACTAAAATTTCAGAAAAATCTCTTCTTAGCGTATAAACTGTAAGGTTTTACAAAAAGCTACATACATAATTCATTAGATGGCCAGTTTCAGTTACGCATATTAATTTCTACTATTTTCCATTGTTTATTTTTCTACTTTTACATTAAATATAATTAGGTTTCTCCGCACTCTCTTGCTAGTTTATAGCGTTTAGTTCATATATTATAAGTTGTTCATAAATAAGAGAGCTCACCTGTTGATAAAGTGTTTGAATGAATGTTAGCTTTTGTTATTTATCCGCAATTATAACTAGCAATATCTAGCCCTCTCCATAAAACTTGAATTCTCGTTATGCGTTACGCAATTTTGGTGATTCAATCAACTTACGTACATACACATGTACGTATATAGGTATGCAGGTATGGTCTTCTACCGACTTGTGGTGTTTATGTACATATGCACTTAATATTTGTTAATCAGGTATTATCGAAATTATTTAACTTAACTTTGTTTCTTGTGACATCATCGTTAATGGCACATACCAACATATTTATGTATTTTTGTCTTATCCAACAACAAACTTAACCTTCGATCTACTTAAGTGAGATAGTAGTTGTTTTTCTATAGCGCAGATATGCATATGTGTATGCATGTATGTACCCTGTCGGAAAACCCACTAGTGCCGAACTGGTTCTGCACTAAAGCATTTAGAACCATGACTAGTGCCCGTTTATTTTTTTTTGAGTGCTAGCAATTGGCGAATTTAACACTGCGATGTCCTACGAAGTGTCAATTGCCCCCGCTGCATCCATTTTTCGATAGTTCCGAACTAGTCCTAAATTTTATAGTTCCGAGTCAGGTCTAACTGACGAAAAAAGTATCATGATTTTTTTCAGTCTTTTTGGTTTTTGAATGTGTGTGGCTCTAAATTATTTTCAAATAAATGTATTTTCAGTTTGAAATTAAATTTGTTTGAATGATTGTAAAAAATGTACGTTTACATACCTTTGGCCGTAAGCTGAGTTTGCAGAGGTGCTTGCTCTTATTGGTTAGATTTCGCAAGGTTCCAAGATGTTAATATGTTAACACAAATTTTGGTTTTGTATTACCAAACTATGAAAAAGCATCTGCGAAGTGCAGAGTGAAAGCTTATTTGAATGAAAAAGCCGCCAAACACATATCTATGTAATGTAAACATCACTTTTTCCATAGTTCTGAACAAGTTCAAAATTCGACAGATAAGATCTAGTTCGTTCTGCATCCCTTTTTCTATAGTCCCGAACCAGTTCTAAATTCGTCACCTTAGATATAGATTTTTAATGTAAGAAGTGAAATAAAATAGTTTTTTAAAAGTACATATGTACCACATTTTTAGTTACTATCGGACTGGCTAGTTTTTGGCGATAAAGAGCTAGTACGGAACTAGCAATTTGATTCATTAGTTCGCGGTTTCCCTGCAAGGTACATTAGTATGTATATATCTACAAATTACTATCCATTTAATACGGGCGGTAAAAACAGTTTATTCACGCTAAGCATAACAACATACGTATTTATGTACATAAATCTTCATTAAAGCGCTCATAACGCCGAGATGGGAACGTAATTTAGTTAAATAATAAAAGAAAAATTTAAAGCAGAACAATAGGTCACCACAGCCTTTATATATGCCACAAGTTTCTATGTTAGCACAAGTGATTCTGTGAAACGTACACATTAATGAACGTATGAATAGATGTGCTTATCACGTTGATATGTAAAACCTGTGCCAATTTATACATAAGTGAGCGCAGGTTATGCAATTCCCAAGTTACGTCTCCCTCTTAAAACGCAGTGACAACACCAATATACTAGTACTCAAACAAATAAACAACTTTTGGATACCTGAAAATATGCATAAATATGAATAGCTAAAATGTTGTGCTAAGCAGTTTTTCTCATACCAATACAAATGTAATAACTTACTTGACTGTATGCTGTTGGCTGAAATTGCTTTGTTGTGTTGACACCTGTTTGGCTATTACATACTAACTATTAAATACATACTTTATTAAAAATAGCTCAAAATGCCTTTTTCGTAAATATCTAGTAGTTCATGTATACATACATGTGTACATACATTTATGTGTACAAATGTGGTTATAACCTGTATATTGGCAATGCGAATGCATGCACGTAGAAATGTGTGAAAACTCTAAAATTAATCTCATTTATAACAATTGCAAGCATTAAATAATTAAAAAAATAATAATAATCTGCGAAAACTATTTAATAAGAGCTTTTTAAACATGTTGTCGTTATTCTTTATTAATCTTAGCTCGCGAGCTTGAAACTGATTCGGATGGCTGGGAAGAGCGAGAAGCCTCAAGAACACATTCCGTAAAATTTTCTGAGGAATCAACGCAGGAGAAGGACACACCGTTTGTCAGGCAAAATACACCACACCCCAAGGAGCTGAAAGCAAAGGCACACAAACTATTTGCAAAAGATCGTAGCAGAGTTGATGACGCCAACTTAGATACAGTTTCTGAAGAAGTAAGTAAAAAGTGTTATATTCATTGTTGTAAAAAATAATGCTTTAAATACCAATGTCACATACGACAAAGAAATATTTTCAACTTGCCAATCACAAATCAGCTATTTACCTTAACATCATTTATTTTCTTAACAGACATCATCAAAGTTCGTTGTTAGCAACGCCGCAAGAATCGGTCCTAATTCCACCATAGTAGAGGACGTAGCAGAAGCAAAACCCATCTATGATAATCATCAGCAGCAGCCTATCTCACCACAAACCCCAACAGCAGCGGTATCATTCGCGCAACAGCCTGTTCTTGCTCAGGCAGCCGGCCAACAGCAAGACCCGAATGGAAATTCCGCAACAGCCCACGAACCGATTGCAAGCGTAGCACCCGAGCATGGCAATGCCGCTGTAGTGGTGACTTCAGCGATTGTAACAGCGGCAACAGCAACGAGTGGCACTGCCGATGAAGAAGAAGACTTTGTAAGTACAGACACAAACCACTCCAAAGCATAGCAAACTGTTAACCGTTTCAACATAGTAACATAACCTGATTTCCGTACGTTTCTTATGTTAACTTGCAGGATGAATCAGAAAGACGTGTTGGCTTTCAAGTAGAGGGGGAGGATGACGATTTCTACAAACGTCCAATGAAGTTGCACAGACGGTATGTACACATATTGCATAAACAACTTCTACAACAATTAATTAGTTTTACTGTTTCAAAAATGTTAGGAAAGTCTTGCAGTTTACTAAAAGATGAAACCTCGATTTTTTACATGAGTAGTTACACGCAGAAATAGGATTGTTCGTTCAAGATCTCTAGTAAAAAATGTCCAACAGCAAATTTCTCTCACAAGAGAAACATATCCAAAATGGTACGCAAACAGGAAATTTGCAGAAACTTTCAAGTTAGACGAACAGTTGATAGAAATTTTGTTTACATTCAAAAGTGTAAAATTGAAACGGAAGAGAACAAATCCCAAAGTTTTATCCTGACACAGTTTACTGACTAAACGAGTAATAACTTACTTCTTACAAGTTTAATTAGTCGCATTTTATTGTTTTTAACCTCCAAACCATCAAATTCAATTTAGTGATTTGTGTAAATTCCAATCAGCTGTTTTTAATCAGCCGTTTTCTTGTTAGCAAAAATTTTTCCTGCAGAAACTAGCAGCTTCCCCTCAAAATGATATGCCATTTGGCTCTCTCGATTTCCCCTACTTTGCAGTGACAGTAACAGTTATAAGTTGAGGTCTGATTATGCATACTTCGCATAACTTCGCACAACTATTTTTACCACTGCACGCGAAATATCACTTAAGAAAAAGTGAAGCAAAATCTAAACTCCAACGATCGCTAAGTTTTTACAAGTTCTGCTAATTTCTGGGTAAAGAAGTACATACAAAGTACAGGCAAAATTACAGTTTAAAGGTTATGCAAAGTATACATAACACTGTGCATCAGCCGAAACCAGCCCGGATTTTGTTAACATTTCCTGAAAGTATACCCATCCAGTAGTAAAACACTCGGTGGATTTGTAAAAGTTAGCTCGTATTTTTATTTTGTGGCCTACTACTTCATGTCTCGGCCTAACAAATGGTTAAAATTAAATTTAATAATATATATAAAAAAATTTCATGGGAAATATTTCCGTAGAACATTTTAACCCATTGGCTCCCGCCTGAAAGGGCGGGTTTTGACTCTTACTTCAAGGATTAAAGGTTGAATATTGAATAAGGAAAATGTACTAGCAACACGAGTTTACGGTTCAGATGTAAACGCTTCTGACTTTGCACATCGATTACACGGGTTCGATCCCTGCTGAGGTCTAGAAAAGAGAAGTCTGATGAGGAGATGTGATCTCCGAAATGGCTGCTATAACTTCTACCGCTTAGTCTTTTGCTTGTTGCTTTTTCCATTTTCCTAATAAAATAATCGTGGTACAAAGCTCAATAAAAATATAGAAAATAAAATACAGTTTATTCTCTAACAAGTCTAAAAGTTTTTAAAAGACTACATAAAACGGGACAAAATTTCACCCAAATTCCGAACTTTTTTCTCAGAAGTGTTAGAATTTTTCGGAGTAGACAGTTTTGTAGCCCATTAAATTTCAGTCCAATAATGTGCAAGTTTGAAGTGGCTAAAAATTACCGTTGATTTTTTAGAACTTTTTTCGCCGAAGGTGTTGCGAGTTTCTCCATATAAAACTTCCATATAAAACTGAATTGTGTGTATTCGTTATATGGTAGCAAATGGGGGAAAAAAAATTAAATTCTAAAAAATCAATGGTAATCTTTAGCGACTTGAAACTTGCACATTGTCAGACTTAAATTGAATGGCGTTTTTCAACCAAATTCTGAGATAGGGTGTTTTTCTATAAAATTTTGAAATAGGGCGTTCTTCAATCAAATTATGAAGTAGGACGTTCTTGAAACGCTTTCTGAGATAAGGCGTTTTCGAACTGGCTGCCGAGATAGGTTAATCTTCCACTCAGCCATCGACTTTTTCTGGAAGCTTCCTTACCAATGATTTTTTAGAAACAATTTTGAATCAATAACAGTTATTTTCGGTCCCTGGTTATTTGATTACAAACTAATATTTAATTAAGTACTAATTGTTGCAACTTGAATTATTTAGAATTAAATTAAAATTTTTATTCAGATTGAGGCCGTTTGAAATGAAAGATGTTATGGAAACACTGCAGTAATTTGCTTTTTATTTGCTCAAGCACAATAAAATTGTTAAATATTCGATGGTTGAGCGCACACTTGTGTTAAGTGACAACTTTACAATTTTTCAGGAGCGCGTATTTTATCCTCAAACGGCAATAGCGTGTGAACGGACAGTTTTTGTCAGCTCTTACCGTTCCAAATGGTTAATTCATATATACGGAATCTAACTTTATTAAAGTAGGTAATGTTGACAGCTTCAGTGTGAATATTATTTTTTGATTTCATTTGATTGCGCGCTTACCTCATTTGGCATCAAAATTTTCTATACTTACAGCATTCTTTGCTAGCGGTCTGCTATGAAAAACGACTTCAATTAAATTTAAAGTATACATTTATTGTTGGTAATTAAACATGCTAACATAGTTTTAACAAGATAATAATTTAAAAAGAACTAGAAAAGTAAGTTTGAATAAGAATAAAAGCTTCAGTTGTTTTCTCTTCGTAAACTCCTACTTGTAGATGGCAAGTTGGCAATAAAGCTTTTATATTCCGAAGGAATTGCGCCCTTGGAAACTAAGAACAAGAGGTTTTCTGTTTTGTCACTATAAATAGGATTCGGTTTGGAATTTTTGCTTTTAAATTTATTGAGCGCCATTCAAATTGCTGAGTTTCCTGGAATGTTCTGCTTTGTCTTTTTATTTGGTTGATGTTTATTTCCATGAACCCGTCTTTTGATAAATCGTACTTATCAAAAGTGGTCCTGACTTTTAAAATCGCAGCCATTTAACTGCCTCGTTTTGGGTGTTTACAGTTGTGTTAGGCATCACTTGTAGTAGATGTTAAAATGCATTAGCATCACACTATATAGTTTGCACTTGCCTATAGAATTCTGTCAGCCAGAATTCTGAAACCACCAAAGTAATTTACTTCGTTACATACAAACTATGGCGTCAAATAACAATAGGGTCCGACCGTTTCCAATTTTTTCTCAGGTACCGATGCCGATGTCGATTAATCGGCGTATGGGGAAAGAATCGGCCGATGCCGATGCCGATGCCGATTCCATAAAAATTACAAATAAATGTATTAATTAATAAAACCAGTTCATTTCAGGGAGCTAAAAAAGCAAAAGAAAATTTTTAATCAGAATTTTGGTATGCAGTTTTGTAGACCGTTTCATTCTAGTATAATGAAGTGCAAGTTTCAAGCTAAAAATCCCGTTAATTCCCGTTAATTTTTGGCAATTTTTTTTTGCTGGCAGTGTTTTCCATATAAAAGAAAATTGTCGCACATACTTTTGTATGGAAAAAAAACGTGAAACATCTTCACCAAAAAAAAAAAAAAAACATTATTGTGAGCTGTCTGCAAATTTTTTTTTAATGTTGGCTGTCGCTTCACCTGAACATTTGAAAAGAAATTCCAAAGAATCGGCAAAGAATCGGCGAAAAAAGGCCGATGTCGATGCTAAATTTCGTGCCTATACTAGCCGATGCCGATTAATCGGTCGGACTCTAAATAACAAAGCTATTGGGCCGCACAGTAGTCGGAGAAGCCATGTTTTACGCGAAAAATTGGACGGGCTGTTATGATTATATTAAAACTGCGGGATCTTAGTATTGTTGTAATGGTAAATTTGAATATGCCATAAAATTTATAGTTTGACAGTTGACAGCTGTCAAATATTTAGACTGTGATTTTTTCTAAAAATACGACAAACTTTTCAAAAATGCCACTGATTGGTTTTTTAGACATGCTGATCACGAATTTTATGTCAAATTAAAACTTTGAGAGTTGAGAGCTGTCAAATAAATTGTTCATTTTTCTAAAAATAAGCAAATATTTTTTAAGATGCTACTAATAAAGGTTTTAGACACGCTAGTGAAGGGGCTGTCAATTTATATAGAAATAAGGAAAATTTCCCATGAATTAAACGTACTATATTTTAAGATTCACTGATATCGAGTTCTGTATCACATTCAAAATTTATGATCAAATTATGAAAAAATAACGGTAATTATATATATAAATTAGGGGTAGTTGGGGTCGTCTGCTATATGTTTAGCCAAAACAATTGGATCTAGGTCCCAAAAGTTTTTTTTTTACGATTTTTTTATTTTATACGAAATTCATCATTTGCAAAAATTTCAGTTTTCGCATTTTTAAATAAAGTTAAAATTTCGGACGCCATATTGGACTTTGCATTTTGAATTTTCATGAAAATTCAGTAATATCTTAAATTCTTGGACGCCATATTGGATTCGTATTGTATTTTTGACAAGTAAGTTTTAAGCAAAAAACAAAACCGGCTACAATTCTAATCTGGTTTAGATCCGATCATTGGATCATGAAATATATAATTAATTCGACAATCTTTCAGCCATTTTGATATTTTGTTATGTTCATATATGAAATATTAAGATATGGCTTTGAAACGAAAGAGTATGAAGATAAGAAATCTTTAGTTTGAAAATTAAGAATTTTTTTGAGGTGTTGTTTAAAAAGTTAAATTCAAATTGAGTATTAGATAAGTTAAATGAATTATAAGAAAAATGGGTAACAATCGGAATGGTTTTAAAAAGGCTTTATTTCTAAAATACAGGTGCGAGGGTTGCCACCTATTGAACAATTCAAATTGAACTTGAATTAAGAGAATTTGGTAATTGAAATACATACATACAGGTTTCAAGATTGTTGTTGTGTGAAAATATTTTGAAGAGGTTTGCCACCTGTATGAAAAGGCGAACTTAAATCATATATGTAATACTCCTATATTGGTAGTAAGAGCTAGTACCGTCCGAAAACACTACAGTACAGATATATCAATAAACACGTACGAAAGAAAAGGAACACATACGTTTATAAATAAACATGTACACAACACATATACAAAAACGGCACTCAAGTACACAATACATTGACAAAAACGGTACTAGAATCTCTCGCTTTGATTTCGGAATGCTTACACATTGAGAAGTGAGCTTACTGCCAATATAGAAGTATTACATATATGCCTTAAATACATTGTGCACAAGTTATATAAAATATTTATATATAAGTGTCAAACGCAAGGGTGTTAAGAAATATTTTGCTGGAACATATTATACTTCAAACACATCGGTAAAGAAGTTCAGTAAAAGAAAACAAAAGGGAATTGTTCCAGACATCTCGGTAAATATTCGTCCGAGGCACTTGAACGCCGAGTGCTACTGCTGTAAAAACCGTGGACTGAGTAAGATGCTAGAAACTGGCTTACTTGAGAATGATCAGCATTGAAACACAACACTAACCAAAGATTCACTCACGTGTCGTCAAAAAGAAATACGAACTTTTAACAACATGCGCAACACCGAATCCCTGAGCAATGGAAAGGTGTCGTGAAAGCCTCGGTGAAGACATTCTAAGTCAAGCACGCGTAACTCTAATATTGATTGAGGTGTTATGCAGGCCAATTAACAACAAAGCCATTTTCCAACGCCAAATGCCAGCATCGAATAGAAAAGCTGTGCAAGGCAGAGACTTGAGGTGAGAAGAGCAGTTTGATGCAAATCAGCAGGAACATTTTCAGCAAAAGCAAAAAGAGCTTTAGTTGGTAGCAGAAATGCTTATGAAAAAACCATACAACGTGCAACCAAATAAAAAAACCAAAACTATTATTTATCCGTTAGCATTACAGAACAAAAATTTTAAAATTATAAATGCGTGTGTTTTTTTGCACGCCGGGTATTGTTGGTTTACACATATAGTTATTAACCAAATTTAGAAAATGCCGACCAATTTCTAAAAACTTACCTGAAGCTGTTTCAAAATATGAATATGCTTATGAGGTGGAGCAAAATCCTCTTAGGGTCTGACTATCTTTTGGGCATATCATGGTAAAAGTACTAAAATGATTAACGCACAGTATATTTTTCGAATTTCAAGTTTTCGAGTATAAGCGAATCGCTTAAATATTTGAGATGTGTAAAAAATACTAAAATTTGTGTTTTTTTTATACATTTTGCAGTGATACTCCACACCACTTGAAAAATAAACGTGTGCAGCATAATCTCACCGACAAAAAAGCGAGTGAAATTCTCGCTAATGCTTTAAATCAAGAAAAGAAAATAGCACAATTGCCTACGGTTCAATCACCAATACAGGAAAATGTGGCTGCCGAGCAAAGTGAACAACAATTGCAACAACAGCAACAACCCTTTGCAGCACCAATTTCACCCATTCCTCCACCAACAGTGCCGGCCCCAATCGCAGCGGGACAAATACCAGATGGTAAGTCGAATTTGGTTACTCTCACTTTTTTCTAGTAGTATTAGATCTTATTTCCACGGCAGCTTCATTCGTAATGTGTTAACCAATTATAAACTTAATCGCTTAATTTGCAAACAGCTTTTTTGGAGCAAATTACTTAATTCTGTAATTCAAATTCGAATACCATGCGAATTACGAGTAAAAGGTTGCTGTCCCTAATTTTAACCGGAAATTTATCGAACTGAGGTGTCAAAGCAAGAGAGAATAGTAAATGTAAAAAAACTAAAACGAAGAAAGAGAGAAGATGAAGAAAAAAAAGATGAACTGTCAAATCGAATTTAGAATGCGCCGTGTAAATGGGTTCGCCAAGTTATTGAGAGAGCGAACAACGTAATTGGCAGTGCACGTGGGATTATGGCGTTATATTAATTTATATTGGATAACATCTGCTATCAGTCAAGTGTAATGCCTGCGAGGGGTGGAGTCACCTCAGAGTCTGCTCGGGACTACGGACACATAGACAGTGGACCACGTCGTACGTGGCCCCCTGTTGCTCAAACAGAGCAGCCTCCACGGCTAACCACAGCCCGCCCGAGCAGCCTCACACACTCACACAGTCACCACAACACAACAACATAATAACACCACAGACCGTACCACAGCCACTACAGACCACATAACACACACAACCGCACCACCACCCACACGCCGCCGCCAACAACTCCTGGTTCCCCCTACAATCTGCACGGTATGTCAGACCAGGATATTCCGTAATGTGACATCAGTCAAGTGCAACACCTGCCTTGGCTGGTGCCACTTTAGGGCATGCTCAGGTCTGCGTACCACGCGAGATTGGACTGGGAACTTCGAGGGCCCGTGTTGCGCTGCTCGGTCGCAGACCCCAATTGCGACGCCCCCCGCCACCACCACAGGGCGGCAATTACCACAGCAGCACACACAGCCAACGGCGGCAAGAACATACACTTCACTTACACCCCACATCACGACACGTCTCCCGAACCACATGAAGCTCCTTCAATTTAACTGCAACGGGCTACAGAGCAAGATTGAGGAGATAACCGTCTTCATGTGTCGGCATGGTATATTGATAGCTGCGGTCCAAGAGACGAAGTTGCACAGCAATTCAACTTTGTTGAATTGCGCCGGGTACAACGTGCACCGTCGAGATCGCGAGCGAGATAATGGTGGTGGCTTAGCGTTCATCACGCACCACACCGTGCAGTATCGTCTTATCGAAGCAGACATCGACCGCAGGGATACCACCCTAGAATGTCAGGGCATCGCTATCCGGTCAGGCGATGTCGAGCTCGAAATATTTAACATATACATACCCCCTGTCACCTGCTGCCCGGCAGGATATCACCCTGATATAGGTGCGCTCCTCAGAGGTGAAAACCGTATGGTAGTAGGTGACTTTAATGCGCACCACGATCTTTGGCACTCAAGCCTGTCAAACGATCGTAGGGGAACAGACTTGGCTGAGCAGATAGACGATTCGACATTCTGCACAATGAACGACGACGCACCCACCAGGATTATGGGTAACTGCAGTAGCTCGCCAGACATCACAATAGTCAGCGCTGGTCTGATAAACAGCATAACGTGGCGACCTATGCTGACTCTAGCATCAGACCATCTACCCATAGTCATCTCGATTGATAAACCAACCGACTTTGCCTCCGCCAAACACCGGACCTATATCAACTTTTCTAAAGCTGATTGGAAAGGTTACGCGGAGTTTACCGAAAACACCTTCACAGCGCTCCCCACACCAACCGACGTCCATCTCGGTGAACGTAAGTTCCGCAGGGCTGTCACTGCTGCTGCAGCTCGCTTCATACCGGCAGGATGTATATCGGACCCACGTCCAAACTTCCCTGCCGAAGCGGCTGTTCTAGCCGATGAGCGTGATAGCCTTCGTCAGGCCGATCCCGGAGATCCCCGTATCAGGGATCTCAACGCGGAGATTCGGCAACTTGTAAACGTACATAAGCGGAAGAAGTGGGAGGAGCATCTGAAGACTTGTAATTTCACCTCTGGTGTGAGCAAGCTTTGGTCAACCGTGAGGTCATTGTCTAATCCGACGAAGCACGACGACAGAGTCGAAATTTCCTTCGGCGACCATGCTTCGTCGGACCCGGAGCGATGCGCGAGCTATTTTAGCCGGCAGTTCATACTGCATCCTCCGGTGGACAAAGCCAAGCGTCGAGTGACCAGAAGGCTGCACAAACTGCCAACAACTTGTGCCCCCCTTGCTTTCACTTGCGGTGAAGTTCAGGTGGCCATCGGGAAGGCGAAAGCCTCCAAAGCCATGGGTCCCGACGGAATATGCATGCTGATGCTGAAAAATTTGGGTCCTGCGGGGGTAGCGTACCTAACGGAGGTCCTCAACTTGTCAATGGCCACTCTCATCATCCCAGACATCTGGAAGGTGGGGAGAGTGGTCCCACTGCTCAAACCGGGGAAACCTGCCAACAAAGGAGATTCGTATCGTCCGATTACACTCCTTTCCCCGGTAGCGAAGACACTCGAGGCCTTGCTACTCCCGTACTTCACAAACCACCTGACCCCAGCGAAGCATCAGCATGGTTTCCGTAAAGTGCACAGTACAACAACAGCACTTAACGCCATAAACACTCAGATAACTCGTGGCCTTAACCGTAACCGTCCCTGTGAGAGAACGATTCTAGTAGCGTTGGACTTGTCAAAGGCGTTTGACACCGTCTGCCATTCCACGCTACTAGAAGATATAGAGGCCTCCTCTCTCCCACAGAGGCTCAAACGGTGGTCGGCAAATTATCTGAGTGGTCGACATTCGTCGGTAATGTTTAGAGACAAAACGAGTAAACAGCGAAAAATAAAACAGGGGGTTCCTCAGGGTGGTGTCCTTTCCCCGCTACTGTTTAACTTTTACATTTCAAAGCTCCCTCAACCACCAGAGGGAGTCTCGATTGTCTCTTATGCCGACGATTGCTCGATCATGGCGACTGGGAATGGAATTGATGACCTGTGTTCGAAAGTAAACGGCTATCTCTCCGAACTTTCTCGCTTCTTCACTGCAAAGTGTCTAGCCCTCTCCCCTACGAAATCCTCCGCGACCCTGTTCACAACCTGGACGAAGGAGGTCAGGCTACCGCTGGGGATTCACGTCGATGACACACCAATTCCGACGGTGAATAACCCCAAAATACTCGGAGTAACATTCGACAGCCTGCTCTCCTTCTCTGCGCACTCAACCGCTATTGTCAATAAAGTACAGAGCCGCAACAAGGTCCTCAAGTCGCTAGCCGGCAGTACTTGGGGCAAAGACAAAGAAACGTTGCTGGCAACATACAAGGCAATAGGCCGGCCGGTTTTGAACTACGCAGCGCCAGTGTGGTCGCCAGGGACTAGTAGGACGCAGTGGACGAAGCTACAGACTGTACAGAACACCGCACTCAGGACAGCGACAGGATGCCTCTTGATGTCGCCTGAACACCACCTGCACGGCGAGGCGCAAATGCTCCCTGTAAAGGAGCATAATATAATGCTCTGCAAGCAGTTCCTGATCGGGAGCCACAGAAGTGGCCACCCAAGCAGACAGCTGCTTGCAGAGGAGCCCTCGCCTAGGCACGTCAGGAGGCATCTATATGAACTGACGGACGAAGTCCAGAGGTTCATTAAGCAACCTCTGGACCCGACAGCTTACAGACAGGCCCTGAACGGCATTCACAGGGACTCAGTCTCGAGTTATGTAGACTCTAGACCTGTGAATGCCGTTCTAGGCATACCACCCCCGGACATAGACGAGACGGAGCTTCATCTGCCTCGGGAGACACGCACAACACTTGCACAACTTCGCTCCGGCTACTGCAGCAGGTTGAACTCCTACCTGAGTAGGTTGAATGAGGATGTGCCGAATGAGTGTCCGGCATGCGGAGAGACCCCACATGACTCGAAACATCACTTCGCATGCCCGGAAAACCCGACAACCCTAACGGCCTTGTCCCTGTGGACAAACCCCACAGAAGCTGCACGCTTCCTAGGGTTGCCGTTAGTGGAACTTGACGACAACGACTGAGATACCAACCGCTACAACAACAACAACAACAAATGTGTTATCTTAAAAACTTTATCAGCGGTCTTCAGTTAAGCCACCCTAGGCCTGACTTATGGCAAATGAAGGCATCCTACGCTGCCTAAAATTGGCCCTGCGATGTATGGCCCATTGCCGGAGAAACGCTTTTTTGAGATGTTCGACACTCTGATATTTTTTAAAAGTCAAATCTACATGCCAGATGGCAGCTGAAAATTTGAACACTCGAATGGCCACCAGAAATCAGACGCCCTCGATAGTGATGGTTGCTTTAACGGCTAATTACGCTCTCCGCACGTGTTTTTTGACCGTGAGGGTAAAATAAATTTACAGGTGCATAGGGAAACTATTTAAGAGGTAGTTCTGGAGCCTTGGATATACAAACATTTTGGTCGCAGACCTTGGATATTCTAACAGGACTCAGCACCGTCACGTAAACCACGCGCCAATCAAGAACACATAGTTCCAAACTTCACTTCGTGGACACAATGGCTTCACTGAGGAAAGAGTCAGCTAAATATACATATTTCTCTCAGCACAAGATTTGCTAACCAAATCATATCCATAGATAGCCTTATACCAAATCATTTGTTGAGAGAAACATATTAAGTTAACATAAGTTGAGTCTCTTCTCAGTTTGAAGAAGTTTCCAAATACGATCTCGCTGGTTTTTTGAACCCGAGTTATTTTAAAGAGCAAAGTTAGCTTTAAAAAATTGATCGCTTCAAGGCCATAATTCAGGCCAAAGGGGGCAAAACTAAAATCCACTGATGCAGTTTTGAAGAAAATTCATTTCTCAACCCACTAATTTGATTCAACAAAATTCATTGATAAATACAGAAAACTAGCAGACCCGGCGAACTTCGTCCCGTCCAAAATTATTATTTTTTTATTGCAACATTTTAGCCCAACAATTCACGGTCAT